TTAAACTTAAGATATTAATTTAAATGTATAAAAAAATTACTTTAATTATTATTTATTAATTAATTATATTTAAATATAATTACTTTAATTAAATCAATATTTAAAATTGATTAAATAACTTGATAACTATTTTTGTAACAATTGTGTAGATGTTAAGGACTTTGTGTAGGGTAAAAGGAAGGAAATGGGACAAAGAGAATGATTGGATGTCGAAAAAAGGAAGAAATTCGAAATGACTGATTTTATAACATTGACATTATACTGTAATTATATGAATCAGTATTTTTGATAGTAATTTGTTTCGGTTTATTTTTTATATAAATAAAAAGTGCTTATTAGATTTCATGTAGCTTAATAGCATAAGTCATTCAAAATTATATTAGTTTCATTCATTAATAAATGAATATAAGTTAACCGTTCATGAAGAACACGTAGTTCATCGATTATTAGGTAGTTAAGTTTATAAATTTCACCTGATTATGTTAAAATACTATAGTTGATGTGATTATAACACCTCATTAATTATAAATCTTTTCCGTTAATATCAAAAAGAAATTGCACCGTGAATTCTAATACCAATTATTTTGTAGTTTATAGCTAAATATCAATTATTGACTTGATGGTTATAATTCTCTCTCTCTCTCTCTCTCTCTCACACACACACACACACACACACATATATATATATATATATATATATATAATGAGTTGGGTTCACATGAGACCAATATGTTTTTGTGAGATTCGTGAGACAGTTTTTTTATGCTTGAAACTTCGTAGCAAAAGACTGTGAAGGTAAAAAAAAGTCGAATATTCACAGCAAAAACATCGTGAATGTTGTTTTCACAATGTTTTGCTATGAAGTTTTAAATGTAAAAAAATAATTTTATGAGTCTCACGAAAACAAAGTGGTTTCATGTTTATACATATTTTTTGAAGAAAGAAATAACAATTGGGTTGGGTGTGAAATGGTGGTGGTTGAGATCTACTTGGTTTGACATAAAAACACATGATATCTTATCATTTGCAAACCTTATCTTAAACACTTTATTTGACACCTGGCTTCCTTTTATTATCAAACCCCAAATAAAGGAATTTATCTTCACCTTATCCCTTCCCCTTCCCTCCCCCTCTCATTTTTATATTTCTCACACTACACACACACACATATATATATATATATATATAGATGTTTATATCTTTGTTTGCTTTGATTTTGAACTATTTTATATATGTGTAGTTTTAATTTTGTTATAATGATAAAGCTTGTATCCATTTACTAGAGAAAATGATCAGATAAAATTTAACAAGTCTCTGTATTGTTATGATACTCGGGGGTTGTTTATCCACAGTTTATTGGCAAAATATATCATTCTCACTTACTTTATGGTGTAACATTAATTGCCATCAAAAGTGATTGTTGGTAATTGTTTTAAATTCGTAAAGTGCTTATCGTTAAGAGTTGTTTCCCTCACTTACCTGGTAAGACTCTTGGTTTTTGTCATTCTTTTTACTGGTACGACTCTCGGTCTTTGCTGTGCTTTTTACTGGTAAGATTTTCGGTCTTTGTCATGTTTTTTTTTATTGGGTAAGATTTTCGGTTCTTGTCATACTCAATCTACAAGGTAAGTGATATCAGTAAGAGTTTATCTGATAAACGTTTAGTATACCAAAAATATCTTAAGGGTCGTTTACCTGAAACTTACCCTGACAAAACGCTTAGTTGTAAGATTCAACATTTCTACTTAACTTATCAGGTAATATTTTAGTTCACTAAAACAACATTGTACGAAATATTTTTATCCAGTAAGCGTTTACCTGGTAAGAGTCTTTACTCTCACTTACCAGGTAAGACTTTCGGTTCTTGTTATTGTTTTTACCGAATAAGATTTTCGATCATCATCGTATTCATTTGATAAGGTAAAATGATCTACTAAAACTTATCGAATAAACATTTAGGTAACGGATTTTTGATTTGATAGAATATTTAGACATTAAAAACGATTTTAAAAAGAAAGAAAAAACGTAAAATTCACATCTAAAATATAAAAAAAGAGAAAGAAACAATAATTGCTGTCCGTGGCCTATAATTAATAATTAATAAACAATAATTATATTATGAGATAATAAAAAAAAAAACAATATCCAATAAAGCTTTAAAGATTCCACCCTATGTTCATTGTAGCTTCATTTTTTTTATTTTTTATTTTTTATTTTAATTTATTTTTACAGAGGGTTGCTGGTCAAAGCAATATCGTTGACCCAAATCCCACCCAACACTTTCTCAGTCTTTTACGTGAGAAATCGACAAAAATAGTCGAGCTTATGAGTTATTTGACAGTTGTTGAATCGTTTGGTGTAGAACGATTACGTCGTCAGAATGATTAAGAGACTCTCATGATATAGTATAAAATAAAATATAAATTGTTTGGTAATTGTTTATAATGAAATTAGGGCGCTGAATGGTTAAAGAAGATCCATGATACAAAATCATTCAGAGAGTTTTAAATACATTAAGAGGCAGACTTCGTTTTTGCCAAACAAGATTCAGCTCTTAACGAATAGTATTTCTTTGTACATAAATGTTTTATGTATTTGTGTAAATTACGTTTTTCTGATAAAAAACCGAGCATTTGTATTGAAATATTACAAATGTATATAAAAAAGTACGTATTTATATAAAGAATGATTAATTTAAAAATAAAAGTTAAAAAGTGAAACATGATAAAAAAATGCTATTTCAGTCAATTTTCCAATCGAAATGTCTCTTTTCTTTATTTCATAATTAAAATTGCATTTCATAAGTTCTTTGTTTAAATTAAATAGAGCAAATTGAATGAAAAAAATAACGTATTTTAACTTGATTTTTATTTCAGGCAACATACTTTCAAAACTTTCATTTTGATACCTAATATGTAAAGTTTTAAACATTTAAGTACACGGGTAATCGGTTGAAGCATTAATCCGTTATCATGCTGATGTGGCGAGTGATGTGGTATCCAACTCAGTATTATTTGTTATTCAACTAAATTTCATCCTATCACTCTCCATATCAGCATGATAATCGATTAATGTTTCATCAAGTTATTCGGGTACTTAAATATTTAAAACTTTACATCTTAGTTACCAAAATTGAAGTTTTGAAAGTACGTTTTTCAAAATATCAATTTAAAGTATGTTATTTTTTCATGCAATTTACGCAATTAAATATATAAAGTAAATTATATCAAATGCAAAATTATATGAATAGATTTCAATTTTAGGAAAATTATATAAATGTTCAATCCTATTTGTTAAAGCTATAAAAAGAATTCTTACATCTTACAGATCATTTTATTATTCGAAATTAAATAAAAATAACTGATAAAAAGTAGCATTTTAAACAAAATGATATCAATCTGATGGTGGTATCAGCCCATCATATTACTTTCATGTATTATTTTTTCCAAATTCTACGTCAAATAACCAGAGTTGTATATAAATGCAACGTCGTATTTTCACCAAAATTGTAGTTCAAAATTCACATGTAATTAAACTTCAGTCTTTTTAAAATTCGCATATTATTATATTCTAGAGGATAACGGCATGATTCAAACCAATCTGTTATGGACGAAAGCATAAAACGGTCCCAGGCGTCACACCCAAGTGCACGTTTTAAAGTTTTAATTAAACCATCACTAATGGGCCGTTTAAATAGTTTAAAAATTGGGTAAACACTGGTTACATAAGACGTTCTTTCTTACCAGATAAATAAGCCTCTATTCTTACCGGGTTAGCATCTCGGAAGGTAACATTTATTAGTCAAGAAGATGTTGCTAGTCTTACTTACCCTATAAGAAACCATAAACACTTATTGGTTATTTGGTTGGTTTTCAATTAAGTACTGTATATATAAAGTTGTTTGTATAAATTAATCTATTTGTATAGATCAGAAAGATTTTTGTTTGCAAGGGTTTTCCCTGGATGGAATGAGGGTTTTTAATTAGCAGGGGTAGGTTTGAAAAAAAAAATTGGTCTTCTTCATAAAGCTCCCCTAGAAACATACTAAATAAGCCACTTTCTCTACCATTAAGCTACTACTAAATAGTCATGTATAATTAACCGAACAAACTATTAGTACCATTAAGCTACTAACAAAAAAACATCTTAGGTAGCATTTGTTGCACAGGACTTTATTGGACAAGAGTGGACTAATCTTTTGTTCTACGTTTTGGATGGAATAGAAACAGATTTGTCGCACTTTGTTCCTGTTTATGTCATGTCAAACATGAAACCATTTCTTTTGTCCCACCCAATCTGCACATCAAACACACCCCTAATCAGATAGTTTATCACAATTCTCGACATACATAAATTTTTTCTTTACCCATTATTGTCCATTGCATCAAATCATTTTTTTAACTGTGGTTGTCCATACCAGTTTGCACGCACCTTAACTAATCCCAAAGGCCCTGGAAAACAGTTGGAAAAATCCTTAGTAGCCTTGCGGACTCGAAACGGTGACTTAAGAGAATTCCAATCCATTTTCCTTGCTACTACATTTGAAACTCACAACATGAGTTTCAGGATTCCAAAAGAGCAACTCAATTCAAAAAACACAGGGTCTCTATCTTTGACTTTTGAGTTTTGAAATAAACTCGATTTTGACTTCTAAAATTTCAAAAAGAACACGAAATCGTGAAGATACAAAACATGGCCAACAAATGGCTTTGCTTACCCTCACAAGTCACAACTTCCTTTATGCAGCAACATACACCAAGAGGGAAAAGCAACCAAATCAAAAAGAGTGACAACACTCTTGCATCAAGAAATCCAAACCATGAGCTGCTGTTAATAATCAATCGGGCATGGAGGGCGTAAACGACATTTTACGTTCACAAGAAGAGTCATCTTCTGGTGAGCCTGCTTCTTCTAAATCCTCTAGAAGGTGTTACGCCTCCCGTAAGTCTATCGGGGCTCTGCTGATCTTCATAATCACTTCCATCATCCGACCTCCATCTCGGTCCGTTAAGATTTGTTTGCACTGGAAGACTCTCCTCTTTGTTGCTGAGGATCACCAAACAAACCCAGTAAGTAAATCTCACCAAGGTAGGGTATGGGGGTAGAATCCAAACAAGCCGAGTAAATCTCATTTGGAGGTGGAGTCTTGGGGAGTAGGTATTGGGCGAGTAATGCACCCCCCACCCCCA